CCAGTTTGGGACTCAGCAATAGCAACAGGGCAAGTTGCTGTTTTTTTCTTTTCACCTTCCTCTTGCCATTTTTATACTATTATTATCCTTATTTACAAATGAGCAAATGAGACACAAAATGGTGCTCATTAATAACTTTCTCAGTGTTAAAGTTAATGATTGATGGATCTGGGATTTGAACCCAGCAGTCTGATCTAGGATCCATGATCACTTCAGAAGACAGAGGAATGTTTTCCTTAAGGACAAATTGTAGTCACCTATTCTGAACTGCTCTCCTTTGTGCTATTAGAAGTGCAGTGTTTGTTTTATGTTTAATTTTAGATTGAGTCTCATTTTACAAAATGAAGGTAAAAAAACTTTGTTTTGAAATTTATATCAGTAGAATACTTGAAGTACCAATTTTTAAATGTCCTCACTTGGCCAAGTGCCAGGAATATAGTTTTTACTATAAGAGATTTTGGCATTAGGTAGAAATAATGATGCATTAAAATAGTAATTTAAAATTTGGACAATTTTTGATATAGTTTGTTTTTGTTGTAATTATAACAGTAACATTTATTTCTAGTTCATTTCAAGTAGACTGGCCTTTGACTTGGTTGCTTTTAGCTATAGTGTGTAGATGAAAAAGATGGCCACTTTGTACAAAATTTGTTTTTAGATGGAGTAGTTCTTTCTGGTTCTTACTTTTATGTGTCATTGTAATCATTTTAGTCAAAAAGAGTTTTCACCTTTTCCCATTTTACAAATGAGAAACTGTGTAACTTTACTATGATCCATTGCATAGCTTGTCACCTCTAAAAAGTGTAAAGCATTATGTCTTACTGGTTTGGATGACCAAGCCATAGAATATACTGTTTTAGGATATAGAATTCCCTTTTAAACACATATATGGATTTTCCTTTACCACTACATGTAAGTGTTATTTAGGTATGACATCGTAGCCAGTAAGGTTTTATCTAAAATTTATGTGACATCATAAATTCCAAGTCTCCTTTTTTTTTTTTTTAAGATTTATTTATTCATACAGAACTGGGGTACAGGCCAGAGATGTGGAGGGTGAGAGGATTCACCAGGGACAGAGTGGGGAGCAGAGCAGGCAGATCGACGAAGTACACTGCTGAGGGGAGCAGCAGGCGGGTCAGGAGAGGTCTGCCACGCCATGTGGATCTCCTCCTGGGCAGGCGGGGATCGAACTCATGCAGAAGTGGCTTAAGCTTCTTAGTGCTGCGCCACCAGGGAGGGCCCCAAGTCTCCTTCTTATCAGGAGGAAACACTGCTGAAGATATGCCATGCTTGTGGGAGCTATATCTCTAATTTTCTTCTGTTGGTCAACTTTGTCTTACTTGTCCTTCCAGATAGAAGTATCCAAATTTATCAGGTTCTCTTCACTAAAGGAATACCATCCTGCCATCCTTTAGATTATTTTAAATTGTCTTGCTTAAAACCTTTCTAGTATAAACCATAGATGTTTATTGAGTTCAGGATCTCCTAATTTCAGATAAAAGTTGACAGTGGTCAGGTTGATAGTCAATATATAGTGTATTGCTAGCATGGGCTGCCATACCAGAATACTATAGTTTGGGTGTCTTAAACAACAGAAGTTTATCACAGTTCTAGAGGCTAGAAACCTAAAATCAAGGTACTAGAAAGGAAGCTTTCATTTAGAAGCTGCTTCTCTTGGCAGCTATTTCACTGTGTGCTCACATGACCTCTGAGTGTGTATACATGTGCGCTTGTGATCTGTGTTCACATGGGTGGATGGAGGAGTCCTGTCACACAGGCAAGCTCTCTTGACTTAGATGGCACTAATATGATGAGATCATGGCCCCACCCTCATGAACTCTTAGACCCCTAATTTCCTCCCAAAGACCCTATTTCCAAATACCATAATGTTAAGGGCTTCAACATAGGAATTTTGCAGGACACAAATGCTCAGTTCATAACATGTAACACATTGTGGTTAAGAAATGGGCTCTAGATTTAAATTGCCTGAGTCTCACTAGTTGTCTGTTAGTGAGTTCTCTATTGTAAAGAATCTGTGAAGTGGGGAATATTGACAACAACTCAAAGTAGTTTGTAAGGAATAAAACGAGTTTTCTTGCATGTAAGCCAGTTAAAATAACAAGTAACCCTCAGTTTTAACAAGACAGATGATAGCAGTGATACTCCTAATAGTAACTAGTATTTTTCTGTGTAATGTGGACAGTGGCACATAAGACATTCTTTAAAAAAATTAATGTACAATTTTTCTTAAAAATTAGTCTGGAATGTAAAAGAAAATGCATGATTTTCAGGAAATATTCTGCATTTTTTTTAAAAAAAGATTTATTTATTTATCATACAGATCTAGGGTACAGGCCAGAGGTGGAGAGGCGGTGAGAGGATTCACCAGAGACAGAGTGGGGAGCAGAATAGGCCAATTGACTTAGTACACTGCTGAGGGGAGAGCAGGAGGGTCAGGAGAGGTCTGCCGCACCATGTGGGTCACCTCCAGGGCTGGGGATCGAACTCACGCTGAAGTGGCTTTAGCTTCTTAGTGCTGTGCATTAACCCACTGCACCACCAGGAAGGGCCCTGTTCTGCATTTTTAAAAAGAATTATTCTTTTTTGTAAGGTTTTTAAAATTTTACTTATTTTTGCGTAGAGAAACTGGGGTGGAGGCCAGAGGTGGGGGGAGGGAGTACGGTGGGGACGTGAGACAATTCACTGGAGACAAAGTGGGAAGCAAAATGGGCAGATCTACTGAAATACACTGCTGAGGGGAACAACAGTGAAGCAGGAGAGGGCTGTTGTACTACCTGGGTCAGCTCCCTGGCTGGGGATCAAACTCAGGGGTTTTGGCACTTTGACTTAACCCCCAGGTCACCAGGGAGGCCCAAGTGTTGTGCATTTTTTTTTTTTTTTT